TCTAGGTCTGAGGGAGGAGGGCAGGAGTCTGATCCCTGATCTTGAGGGAGGAGGGCAAGGTCTGGATCCTGGGTCTGAGGGAGCAGGCTTGAGGTTTGGGTCCCTGGGTCTAAGGAAGGAGGGTTGGGGTCAGGATTCTTGGGTCTGTGGAGGGAGGCTTGGGATCCAGGACTCCCTGGTCTGAGGGAAGAGAAGGAAGCTGAGATCCTTATTTTTTTCTGAGGGAAAAGGAATTGGGTTCTCTGATTAAACTTTTCTCTGCCTTTCCCGCCTAGTATGGAGGGACCCAGTACAGCCTCGTGGTTTTCAACACTGTGGACTGCGCCCCAGAGTCTTATGTGCAGTGTCACGCTCCCACCAGCAGCGCCTATGAGTTTGTCACCTGGCTGGATGGCATTAAGTGAGCTTTTCCCCCTACTGTGGTGGGTTAGGGTCCTGTGAAGCACTATGAAAATGGTGTTTTGGAAGGTTGATGTGTTTTAGTCCATACATCTCTTGTTCAGGGCCTGGACTCCTGGGCTGTGGGAAGAAGGCTGGGCCTTGGAAGAACTCAGCAGTGTAGTCATCTGGTTTAGGCACAGAGAAAACTTACCATTCAGGGATGTGTGGTTGATCACCACAGCTGCCAAGCGATCCATATGTGATTCTGTGCCTTAAACCCTTTCCCTGTCCCCTGCTGTCCTTCTGATGGGTACATTAGAGAGATTGTACTGTGCTTTGATAGTTCATATTGTGAACTCTGGAGTCAGATAGCTGGGGGTCACATCATAGATATACTCCCCTACACAACAAGAGTCCCTGGATCCTACGTGCTCATTTTGCATGTGGGCATGTTAATACTTGTATTAGTTCTTTTCTATTAATTATCTATTCCTGCAAAATGGTCACCCCTGTTGCCAGTGGCACATGCCTCCAGACCCAGAGACTCAGGAAGCTGAAGCAGGAGAATCACAAGTTCCAAGCCAACATTTCAACAACTTAGTGAGAGAGACCCTGTTTTAAAATAAAAAATAAAAAGGGGTGAAGTTGTGACTCAGTGGTTAAGTGTCTCTGGTTTCAATTCCCATTTTAATGAATAAAAATAAAGAGCTAGGGTTGTAGTTTAGTAGTAATAGAGCACCCCTGAGTTTAATTTTAATTCCCAGTACTGCACGAAAAGATAAAAGTAAAGGAAAAAATAGAAATATTGTTATCTTAAGCATGTCTGTGAGAAATTCACCAGTGCTTAGCTGCAAGGTTTTGCCTGGGGTCTTTCATGGTGTTGGAATCATCCCAGTGTTGGGCTATGCAGGAGGATCTGCTTCCAACAGCCATCATTCTATGGCTAGAGACATCAGTTCCTTGCTGGCTGTTAGCCATAAGTCTTTTCCATGAGGCTGCTTGACTTGCCTATTGGAGAACCTGCCTTTCTTCACAGTGAGTGATTCAGTATGGAGATGAAAAAGGAAGCTATGCCATACCCCTTAATAAGTCTTGCAAGGCATGTATCATCACTTCTGCCAGGTGCTGGCTTTTGGGAGGGTGGTCATTACCAGGGATTGAACTCAGGGGCACTCGACCACTGAGCCACATCTCCAGTCTTATTTTGTATTTGATTTAGAGACAGGGTCTCACTGAGTTGCTTAGTGCCTCGTCATTACTGAGACTGGCTTTGAATTTATAATCCTCCTGCCTCAGCCTCAACTGGGATTACAGGCCTGCACCACTGTACCTGGCATCAGTTTCTGTTTGGTTGACAAGTGTATACTGTTTCTCATGGAGAGGGCGACAGCCATGGTTGTGAATATGAGGAGTCAGGATCTTTGGGAGCCCTCTTGGGGGCAGGCTACCAAAACCTCATGGCATGTTTTGGCAGTTAAATGAGTTCATGACTGTTTTACATGGTCCCCACCTAGTAAGTGTCTTGCTACCTCTGAGTAGCTGGGACTTGCCTGGTTTGCTGCACCTTTGTTGTATTGTGGTTCTGGGGATGGAACCCAGGGCCTTGAGCATGCTAGGCAAGTGTTCTATCACTGAGCTACCTCCCAGTCTTTGTATGATGTCGAACACAATCCCTAGCTGCTCCCCATTAGATGCCAGTAGCATCCCTTCCAAAGTTGGGACAACCAACATGTTTCCAGGCATTATCAGATATCCCCTGGGGGCAAAACCCAACCCAGTTGAGAACCAGTGGGCTAGATTGTGGTAAGACTTGATAATACTATACGCAGGCTCCTTGAGACCAAGTTCAGGTCTGGTGCATCTGGAGTTCCTGTGACCTGGAGCTCCCAGTACAGGAGCCCTCAGGAAAACTTTGAGTCAAGGAGTGAATGCCCACAGCCCACTG